TATCAGATGGTAAGCACTTTTGCTGCGAGCAAGCATATAGTGTTATACACATGAATTATGGTGTCATTGATAAGACTTTGGTGCTTGGGTAGATAAGCCAGCAGCACATCTGTCGATGCAATTAATTGGGTACTTTTTTACTATTTTATTGTTCTAAAGCAAGTCAATATTTCAATACAGTTAAAGTTCTTAAAGAATGTGTTAAAAATATAAACGATACATCAGAGTCAGAGCTTGTAGAGATGTTACGCAACCCTTTTATGCGAGTATTGGATGTTTTCGAGCGTGGTAAAAAGCTCTCACGCTCTACCACAGCATGAATCAGTCTGAACTGTACTGATTTACTTTTGTCATAATCGTGAATATGTCCAGGAAAATTTGTGGTTTTAAATACAGATTTTTTTGTACACTGTAAAAATATTTTATAATCATAATTTGTCTTGATAATTTACTTAAGTTAAATGTTTTGCTTACAAACTTATTTGGTAAGAAAAAAGTCCTTGTCTAATGCTTTCTTTCGGCGAGCTATGTTCCACCAAAGAATACGAGCACCGGAAATGCGTAATAATCCGTTAGAAAAGCCAAAGTTGTATCTAGCTTACACCAGGCTGTGCGCGGGACTACTGTCTTCGGTTTCTCGCTGGCGTTGGGTGGGACATATGATAGTACTCGAGAGCTGCGCCTCGTCTTCGTCATATCTTCGGGTATCTCACGCTACGGATCTCATTGTGGCCGAGGCGCAGTCAGCTATTATGTTTATTAAGTTGGCGCTGGCTGCGCCAACAGAAGCAAAATAAGAGTGTGCGACTGCGGCTCCGCGAAAAGAGGTTGAAGAAGTATATAGAAGAAGGCGAAGCAGAGAACTCCCGCGAAAGCGGAGAGGGGATGTGTATTGTCCCGCGCATTGTCTGCCCTATTGTGCGACATCACGGCCCGATAACTGCCGATAAGACTGCGAGAGCTGTATTTTCGCTTCTTTTTTATTCTTTCTTTCGCGTATGAGGTTATATACCGTTGCCCTCTGTGCCTTTCTTTCTTTCTTTCTTTTTCACTTACGATCTATATACACAACCAGATGCTTGTAGTACGCGTCGAACTCAAGTCACAATTCTTCAGGCCTTATATGCACCTAAAACTAAAATCAATGTTATTCAATTTGCGGAAAGGATTTTTCCCCGTTCCTTGACTTTTTTTTCAAAATTCAAATTTTTGATTCATTATTGAGATACAGCTTTTTTGTGAGCCCTTTTCATATTCTTCATTAACGTGTAGTAACTTTCAAAGCGCATCATTTAACCCATAGCATCCAGGTGGTATACTCTTTATCAGAACATCAACAGTTACAGTGGCAACTTGAAGTGAGATGATTAGAACTGTACGATCTCGTGAAAAATGATATTTTGAAGAAGCGTATTCTATTTCGGCGCTGTAGCGCAAATAGTTTGCTATGAAAATTACGACACATCAACGCATTTTCGAAAAATAAAACGTCAAAATTCAGGTGAAAAGAAAAATTTAACACGTAAAGTATATGAAAAAAGCTCACGGAAACTACTGTATCTCGGTGAGAATAAAAAATTTAGAGTTTCCTTTTCCAAAATCGAATATTTACAATTTTCCGGTGTATATAAGCCTTTAAGTACATAAATACTGAGAAAAAAGACTAAGGCAAATTCAAAATTTAAAGATAATGGGTAATTTTTTTTACGTTGCATGAATCCGGATGAATCTCATGTGCCAGGGTGCGCAAGTATAATGGGCTTCCAGTCGGAAAGGGAATAGGCCGTGTAAAAAGTTCTAATTCAATAAAATATTGTTAATGAAATTTTTTTTTTCACACTCTAATCTAAAATACGCAATTTTACCGCTAATTTTAGGCTTTCGTAGGAAAAAACAGTATCATCAATTGGTGCAAATATAGTTTTTTAAACCCTTGTTTTGCTAAAAAAAAAATCATAACTTCACCCGTTGAGAAATATACTATTTCATCATACTAGTATATGTTTTTGGTGTATTTTTTGTTGCTGGATTCAAATCTAAGGTTGAAAAAACCGAAAAGCTAAAATCCACCCCTCTAATGAGGTGAAAACTGTCCTCTTTGCCTTTCACAATCGATTTTTATTTACTTGAATGGTGTATCTTGAATCCTTCTCTCAAAGTACCAAATCTTAGTTATAAATTCGATTTTATCAGTTTAACATTATATCATTAAAAGTATATGACATTATCTCAAACCTTTTTAATCTTTCTAGGTGCTGAAGCTATTCCCCGCATTTTTACGGTCAAACGTACAATTTATGACGTAAGTAAATTAAACATTTCAATTTTTATTCAATATTCTCTTTTTTATTATAACAATAAGACCCTTTATTCGTCGTTAACAAATAAGTTTCGGATTATAATGCACTGTTGTTGAAATTCGGATATTCTTCGAATGTTAAAGAAAAAATTTGGAATCAAGTGCAAAGTTGAAATGAAGTATGAATTTGCTGGCTATAAATATTTAAAATTTTTATTTCCGTATTGGCTTTAACCCATTTGTATTGTTTCTGACATCAGTATAGTAAAATTTTATTTGAATGATATTTTATACTAAAAATCATCTAAAATATGGCAGACCTTTAAAAACAAATAAGACAGTACTATCGATACGATTTCTTTTTAAAACTGCTAGAATATTTTCTTATAATATTTATTTGATATTTTTTGATTATAATTTATCATTTTTGACTCATTTCTATATGACGTAGGTAAAGAGGTGCAGTCGCGACTTGATATCTGAATACATTGTCTTGAATTGAATAAGCAAAGTGTGCTTTAAGCTAGTAAAGCTTTACATGCTCTATGCATGCGCGTTATATAAACAGTGTGGCGCGAGCGTCTAGAAATTTTGCTGCGCGATAATTCAACATTCGCGTGCGTACAAGAAGATTTCCTTTATTTTTTTTTAAATCTCATAATAAGGGCTCTGAGTGTTTACAAGAGCGCGTGCGCGTATTTATTATGTTTACGTTTAAAAGACTGTCGATTCATTGCTTTTGCGCGTTTGTACACGCATAAAAGCTCCTGCAAACTGAATGGCTTTATATGTTATATTTATATACCTATGTAGCAAAAGATTCATTTGCAATTTTTTTCTGCTATTGTTTATAATACTTGTGTACATAATAAGTATGTGTTATAATTTGTTTCTTTTTTTAATAAATTCACGCGTTGCTCTCACGATCAAATAGCTCACTCAATAGATCAAAATAATTTTTCTAAAAAAAGCTTTCATTATGATGCAATTATAAATGAATTTCTCTTTAAAACATAATAAAGTTTAAAAACGCTCAATTGTTGGAAGCACAACTGGACGTTTTCGACAGCATATGATCAAATTGATTCAAAAGTAAACTTAATTTTTTATGCTTTCAATTATTTCTTGTTAGCATAAATTTTCCATTAAACAATTCTTATTATTTTTGTAGATGCTAGTTCCCAAAATTGTCGACTCGCCCCTCCTAAGTTTATGAAAACAGTTTTGAAACTTCATCAATAGGGTGGATTACTTTAATTCCAACTCGGATAAATCATTTCCTTAGTAATTTTTCCATTTGATTAATGACAAAAATGGCACACTCGATAGATTTTGTTGGATTTCTCGCGTGCACGGTTGCGCATATTCCAGATAACGAAAGAATTCGAAAAAATCTCTGCGACCGATTGAATAGTTCATTTCGACTAGAATGCGCAAGAAGCGCGTTTAGGTGTGTATATATATATAGATAGACGTAGTTGCGATCCTAGTGTTATAAAGAACAGAGGGTGCGCACCACCCCCGCGGGCGGGTGGACGGGCGGGCGTATATTGTACGCTTGGGCTATAACCCGGCAATCTCGGGGGAGAGCGAACGAGCGCTCCCGTGCGGGTATGCGCCCCGACAACAATGAGGCTGTAGAGACAAAGGCACGGTACAATGCTGATGTTGAACTCGACTGATTTCGACGATTTTTGGCCTTTGCATCGCCATTCAACAATGATTCCCGCATACGTAATCATTGCTATGGGCCGCTGCACGAGCAAGAGTGAGAGAGAGATGCTCCGATCTCTCGCTTTATAATATGTGTATCTCCGCTCGCGTTTCTCTTTTGTATACACTCGGCAGGTGCGCGTGCCCGCGCGTTGATTCTGACAACGGTGCTTCGATGACACTGTCTATATGTACGCGCTATGCACAGCAGCAGGCAGACAGTTGGAAAACGACCTACATTTGAAATTCAAAATCTACAGGTGAATAGTTTTGAAACATTTTGCAGAGACCATTATTTACTTTTATCTAATCAACTAAAACTAATTCGACTATCCACCTTTCGTGTTCACTTTTGATTGAATCTAAGACTACTGATAATTTTATGGATGGATGGATCAACTATCGTTAAACCTTTTCTTGTAAATTGATCAATAATAATTTTTGCCTAATTCAACATGATTTAATAGATAAAATATTTGAACAATCCGCTAACTTTTAAAGGACAATGACCTATGCGGTTGAGCACCGCTGATCCCACCTAAATGGATACATTATGTGCTAAAGCATCACATTGACGTCCAATTGTTCCTTTAACAATAACAACAATATCTGAATAGTTTCCCAGAACTTGTCCGTATGTATAATGAGAAAACCACATACGTGTACTATAATCGGCTAAAATAAATATATGTATACCCCAAACTACAAGTTTTTGATCAATTTACATTTTTGTACATATTCGATGTCCCCTTGATCGTAATAGACTCATTGAATTCATTTTTTCATTCTTACGCGTTAACACATATATTAATCAACTCCATGAAATTTCCTTCTCTTTTCACATGTATTGTATCTTGAGTAAAAGACAATTATAATATTGAAAATTCACGTTGAAACACATAATGACTTTGTTAATGTGGACGAGAGGTAATCTTAATATTTTAAATGAATTAAAACATTTAGAATTTTTTTTTATAAATTTATTGTAAGACAATGTTTTTTTATCAAATAAATGTCTTAAAGTTGTTGGAAAATCAATTTGGAAGTTTTTCTTTTACTTATAATTAAAGGTATTTCACACAATTGTAAGTGTTTAAAGTTCATGCTGGTGGTCTGCAATTGTCATTAGCAATTTAATTTTTTGAAAATTTCGTGTATAAAACACTGGAAATACATTTTTTGTGGATGTACAATGCAATTTGTGAAGAAAATTTTCTGACAGAATTTAAAAAGTAGTGTAATTTTTCAAGTATAGTAAAAATTATTAAAAAGTTACTTTAGCTGTTTTCAATGATATAAATTTCATTTTAGTTGATATTTTCTTTATATGCAGGATTTAAGAGTTTTAGACACGATATAACATTTTCATATTATCTTAAAGTATACTTTTTTAATTACTTTGATTATATTCCTATCTAAGAAATTTATTCAAATTTTGCATCTTCGTCCATTATACGTGTATAGTTTTTATGTCAGAATGTAGTTGACATACATGTATTAGTCAGTGATAGATGTAACAATTCAAGTGAAGCTATCCTTTTCAAATATTTTAAAGAACGTTCAGTTTTTTAAGATATTCGTTCACTGACTAAATTGTTAACTAATAGGAGGAATAAAAAGAACTTGGAATCTGACTCGATTAAAATTTTAAAATCCTAAAAAATATACGTGTACTTTAAAGTTTCTGTTACATCTACCTTACCGAAGCAAATACTAAATTTGTATTATAAAATTTTAAAATCCTAAAAAATATACGTGTACTTTAAAGTTTCTGTTACATCTACCTTACCGAAGCAAATACTAAATTTGTATTATTATAATCGGCTAAATACACGTTTATGTATATTTAATATCTAAAATAGCAGTTCAATGATTTTAAATGAAAATCATTTAGAACTAGATAAAATTGTGATAAAATTTTTTCGTCCTACTCTAAACGAAAACATTGCAGTTTTCTACATTGAAGCTTACACTTCAATTTTTTATATGATTCACGCAGCCCTTTACCGGTTCAAGAGATAATTGTTTAGCCAATTTCAAGTCATCTCCAAAATAACTTGATTGATTTAGTTGATTATTAGTAAATTCCCTCTTCATATTGCGTTACCATGTCAACCGAAGATTATCATTATACTCTCGATTATCCGGCTGCCACCTTTTGTCAGTTTCTGCTGATCCAAGTCAGACGTGGTCATTTAGGCGCTAAGTATCATTTATTTTCAACTATAGGGTGTTGGTGAATAAAAATCACAATCGTTACATTTTTGCTGAAACAAAAAACGCGGTAAAGATAATTTATTCTGGAATTTATGTTAAGAGTATAAATCATCACTTACCATAGGATATTCCTCTATAGATGAACCGTTTTCAAATCGGAAATAGCATCCGTAATTGCCAAATATATGAGGACTGAAGAAACCATAGAGAGGCGATGTTAATTGCCATGTATGTGGTTGTGTATTTTTATCCAGCTTCAATAAGTCACGGCCCAAATAATGTATCTTGTTTTTTCTCTTTTTTCCGACTTTTACGGATGTGATAAGCTCGTGCGTTGGCTGCTCAATAGATACCAGGATTGGTTGCTCTGTAGACTCAGTCATTGTCTGCTGGAGAGGCTCTTCTGCCGATTCCAACCATCGCTCATTCGTCTTTTCTTCTTGTAGCTCATTTCCACCGGGAAACTGAAAATATAAATTGATTTAGACGGTTCAAAGTTTAACTGGATAAATTCATCGGCAGCCGCATTGTATTGCGTTATATTCTGAACGATTGCTATATTTGCGTCGCAAATATTCGACCCTTTTCCTGTTTGTTTACCTTTTCTAATACGGGATTTACTGTGTTCGAAAATACTTCATCGGATTCGGAAATTTCTCCGGTGCCCGATGTTAAACTATTAATGCCACTGCTGTAAGCACTGTTGGAATCGGATTCTTTTCTTGGGTCACTAGAACTACCACTCGAGCGGTCACTATCTGTTAGTGAATTAGGTATACTCGCAGTCCCTAACTCTCCGCGATAATCGTCGCTTAAGCTAGACAGATGCCCTCGCAAATTAACGAACTGATTTGGATCTAGTCCTTGTTCGCTTAACACCAGAGTCAACGCAGCCATTTTTATAGATAATTCACAGTGTAATTCAAATTTTTGAAACTTTCCGAGACGTAGTAATTTTTCAGATTTCGTACACTTTACACTGTATACTTCGTACTGTTTTCCGCTTTAAATATACGAAGTAAACTGCACATTACTCACTATTTTGTTGAACGGCAATTTCAGATTTTTAATTTCCGATTTCTATTTTGACACAAAGGGCTAAGTGGCTCGGCGCTCTAAAATTCACACGCACTGGGCCACGACGTTGACTGACTATAATCGTTAGTTGTCTATACTTTTGAATGATGCCAAGAATGTCAACATTGGTGTAATCTATCGCGTCAAATTGTTACCTCTGAGCTTCGCAATAATATGTATAATTCCAATCAAAAATTATACTTTAATTTAATATTGTCATAGTGAAATGTTGCTTTCAATTATGAACATTTTTAATTATGCTGAGATATTGCCCCTAAATATTGCTATTCAGACGCAATAGCTCAGAGTATTTCCAACTTACATCATTTTTTTAATTAGCACGTTCAAAAAATCATAATTAGAGTTTATTTAAAATTAAAACTCTATTCTTGATACTGTTTAAGTCGGTAATAAAGTTTTCTCGTGAGTACTCGTAATATTGAAATTCTAAATATCTTCAATTCATACGCCATCTGTATTAGTACTTACGAAGAGATCTTCCCCCCTTTCCATCACAGAACTTTCCCAAAAAATATTAACGTCTTGAAAAAAAATAGGAACGTCTTGAATGAAAAAATGTAGAGAACAAAAAAGTTTTAAAATTAATCAAAAAATTCTGGATTTAAAAAAATTTTTTAAGGTAATCTATCACCCTTTTCCTGAAGTCTTTGAATCTTGAAGAAAAACATCAAAATCTGTAGTTAAGTGATAAATGGTCCCGAAAAACCCTAAAAAAGTCCGACGTTTTGTGACTGATTTTGAGACTTTTTTTCTTTTGATTTTTTTGTTTGAGACGTTCCTTTTCGAGTTATGAAATCGTGAAGATATCTAAATAAAATAGAAAAAAGCGTATTGAAAAATGGGCCTCAAGAACCAAGGTATCTTATTACACGTAGGGAGATTCATTATAGTTTACCAGGAGACCTGAAAATTTTTTTGGAAAAAATCTACGATCCGGAGGTAAAATGGTCTCCTCGTTAGTTTTAAATGTACAATTATATTAATTTAATTGATGTATATTTATATTAATAATGGGGAAATACTTTAAATGTTGTTTGCTAAAAATTAAATTATCATCGATGATTTTTTGAATGAACAATTACTTGTCTGTAGATAAATAATCATACAGTCACTCATAAGGTAAAAAACTATATTACATTGCATCAGGAGGTAACTGTACTGTACGTCGGTAATTTACCGACAGTCAAATATGAAAACGTTTATATCAATCTACTTTTTCGATGAATTCCTTCGTTACCCACTGACGTTTATAACTCAACCGGTTGAAACACTAACTACCGAATAAAAGAAACAATAAACTTCAAACTTTGAGATATATCATTATTAAATTTAAATTAATAGATCTGAAATAAATTTAAATTTAAATATCGAATGTGTTTGTAATTAAACAACCTTGAATTTCATATTACCAACGTAAATATTTAAGTTTTGAAAAATTATTTATAAAAACATTTGTAGCAATTTTATAAATTTTAACAATTTTATATGTAACTAATTTAAAAATATTGCAGCGTTTATTTAACTATATGTGGTAAAAAGTGTTAATTCATACAATAATAATATTTTCAAAATATGAATGAATAATCTGGTTTTATTTGTAAAAGTTTTTGAATTAGTCAATTTAGAGAATTGATATATGCATTGTTTTTGAAACTTGAAAAGTATTTAGTATAGTAAAAGTTGAGTCGAAACTTGCACGGCTCTGTGCATGAGAGGGTTCTGTATGAGAGTGTGCGCGTGTGTGAGAAAAAGCCTTAGCAACGCACATGCGCCCTCCGGGAACGGTCGACACGGCGGGATTGGCCCACAGTAACACCCCCTCATAATGGGTTCACCCATCCGCGAGCAGCAGCTAGCGGAAGCCATATTGATTTCCCTATGTTTCCCCCGGTGTTGTTACTATAGCGCCCGCCAGGAGAGGATGAGGCCGGCAAGAGAGAGAGAGAGAGAGAGAGAGAGAGAGAGAGAGAGAGAGACACACACACATACACACCCACGCATACACGCGTAAAGATAGTCAAGTGTATTCAAGAGAAGCTTGCCACTTTTTGGTCAGCAAGATATTCGCCTCATCTTGCTGACAATTCTCAATTTTCAAGATAAACACAATGATAGTTTTTTGCGCTGAATACGAAATTTTAAAGATTTTCTCAACGTATATTTATTATAATTTTCTCTTTCTTTCGCGTTTATTTTTTTAAATGATTTTTATGGGTACATAATTATCCCGCATTTGTGAAGAAAAAATTTTTATTGTAAATAAAATCAGAAACTGCTTAACTCTCTTATCGAATCTTTTTATTATTATTTTATTCCATTATCGCCTCGCACCTAACTGCACCAGCTATTGAAAAGAATATAAATACTACTGCGGAGTATTCATTGAATAAAATCAAATAAATATCACTTTTCAACGAGTTATAACACAATCGCATCTATATACAAATTCAATGTACTTGTTGAAGCATCAATTCAAGTATCGTACCTATACCGCAGCGTTTCAACGCATATATAGGTACATTGCAGCGTAGACGCACACACACACACATACGCAAACAAGCGTGCACACACATTTATGCACATCACAACGAAAAGCCGCCTATTCTGTCAAATTCGCTCGTTACATGCAGCTGTCAATCGTGGCGGTGCGCATGCAAATTATTACGCGTGTTATGTACACGCGCCCGCTAGGCACATATCCGTCGAATATGATTTTAGTATCTATATCTATATATACATTAATCGTCGATGCGCAAGCGAAGTTGGCGCGCAAAAGTCAAAGAGCAGCAGCGGCAGCACAGGCTCTGGCTGCTGCCGTTTGTGTCGAGCAGAATCTCGCGTAATATTTGCCTATGTGCTCGCGTTTGTTCCACGCATATGTATATCTGCGCGTAATCCCCAGACAGTAGTGTAGCGCACATAAGCTCGATTGTCGGCGCGTTCTTTTGTTTACGTCTATCTGTGTGAGTGCCGGGAACACGTGGATGTGTACATGTAATATGTATATACACGCTAGGCTTGGTCCTCTGACCCTTTAGCGATAATTGACAACACATCGTTCTTAAAACAATACAATTGCGATGCCGCTACGGCTGTACATATTTTACATTCGATCGAGGAGGTGGGATTTCTCCGTGTTCCTGGTGTGCATTTTTTCATTTATTATTGCACTGCTTATGGATTTTTGACCCTTTTCATCTCGTCGATGCTCGCTGAGCTTGAACTGTAATTATAAGATGTGCGCACAATAAGTCAAACTAGCATGCGAATTCAGAAATTCACACAGATACAATTATTTAAACAAACTATAATGCTTGGTAGTATCTTTCAGGAAACTAATCATAATCGTCCAACCTGCCAATTACTCAATCATCCATTTTTCTCCATAGACCCCCCGCGAAATTTGAAAGTGGTCACGTGTCGAAATCGGATCCTCCCACCTCGAGGCACGCTCCTACTGTGCGGGTCTTAATGCATCGGCTGCTGTCCGTACATGCGCTAATAGCGAATTCACATGTATGCAGCATCGCAAAGGCGGATTCGCCCGTGCGCGTGCCAGCTTCCTGTCTGTAGTGGTGAGCTTTGGTTTCTATTTTATTGCCCCGGCTGCGTGTGGTACGGGGTCTCCTTATTAATTGCTTACTAGTTACTCAAAGTGGAAAACCTTTGTTGCGAAAGGTTTTTGGTATTTAAATTATATGCTCCAAGTGATGCACACCGAATCTTATCGCTATTGATCGTAAGCTTTATGCTAAAAATAATAGTCCGTGTGAAAAAAGTATTACGACTGATTGCCGTTTGCGTTCATTGTGCTTATATTTTGCAAGTATTTATAAAATAAAACCGTCCGGAATGGCTCGTTTTGCTAGAGCACCAATCAAGTGGGTGCAGAGTGTCCTCGAAGCTGTTAAAAGTTAAAATTCATTTCTGTTGCACATGGCGTGTGAGCGTGGAGGACAACGCGAGCGTAGCACAAGTATGCGCTATGACTGTTATTACGACGTGTATGCGTTTGCATAGAGAGAAAAGAGGGAGGGGAGGGGTAGGTTATTCAACGAGTCTAGAAGTGGCTCTTGTGAAGTGAAAATTCATGTAAAATTATGCGTATACACGTAAACTGAAGTGTTGAGTAATGGAGCATCGGTGACTGCGTATTCGCTCATAGTGAGAACAAAATAAGTGTACAAACAGTCACTTGCCTCGGCGGGATGAACTTCGCGGGCTTCATCTAAAATCCAATGTTTTTACTTTTTGCCAATTCAAAGCGAACAACTCATTATGAGATGCGTGCAGCTAATCCAAGACCCTAACGAGAAAAAGTACCGATTCTACTCGGTCGATACCTTGACCAAAATGAATTTGAGCGCACGTGGTTGAATATTCCGGCAGTGGTTTAATATAGCAATATTAAAAGCAGCAGGGGGTCAAAGCGGCACATGCGTGCATCTAATAGCGATGGATCGACAAAGGGTAGCATTAGCTTATACGTTTCTGACGACGCTTTTCGTCCTGATTATTCATATATGCTACTCGCTGTACGCGTGCATATGTGTCGCATCGTTGCAGGATGAAGAAGCCCGCCCGGCAGAAAGAGAGTGGTGCGCGTTATCATCCCATAATCCTGCTGTTTTACATGTTATGAACTGGAGTCGCCATTACAGACTCGCTTCGGCTGTAATCTTGCACTGCGTTTCGAACATAATTTTGTCATCTTGGCGCAGCCAATATTTTTCATTTTCACCAGACAGAAAGGATCGGGTTGAAGGATCTATCTCTCTTGATGTTGCATACTTTTAAGTTGAAAGAGAAATATTTCTAACTTGAAATATTTACGTTATGATATTCTGATATATTATTCACGCAAGAGCTCCCAGTCTTTTAACCCTTCGCCATACAGATTTTTTCATGCATCATCGGAGCACGATTCATTAAAAAAAATAACTATCCAAACGACGAGTAGTGCGAGTTCGTGTACATAGAACTAGAGCTTACTTGCTTCCATTAGAAAAAATCTGCAAGTTCGAGGAATCAGTCGTACATGAAGGCTAGCTCGCTTGGTTGCGTGATTTTCG